GGCTTCGTCCATATGTAAGTAATTACGAAAATCGTCAGGATCATTGCGTTATTAAATTCGTCTGAGACAAAAAATTCACATTAAGCAACCATGGTTTACACTATTTCTTTTTAGTTTTCAAGTTCATCTTTTTTTTAATTACACACACTGCAGCCGTTGCAAGAATTAACTCTTCGTCCAAAGGTTCCATCTTGTCGGCAACAACACAAGTTTGGGTGCTCCTCCTTCACATCTGTGTAAAACGAACTGAACGTGTAAACGCCAGATTTTCGTTCAGTTCATTTGCACAGATCTCAATCGTTCAGATGGCTTTAACGTCTAAATGGGCTTTTTAGATCAATTTTGAGACCTCAACTCTACATTTTTTCTACCACGAGTTTGGGTAGGTAGTATATATACCTTTCAAGTGCTACCGTCTCGTATAAAAAGTACTTTTAAATAACTTATATATCGAACAAAATCTATGCTATTTTGTCATTCGTCTAACCTTGATATCCCAATCCACTTGGAAATCTGTCATCGCATAAAATATCGTCTACCAGTACGAATTCTTTTTTATAGGCTACATAAGTTGCTACAGTACTGCCCTTTTGAATTTTCCAATTAACTTTGTGTCTTTCGTCGGTGACATTTTTCGGCACCTGATAAATCTCCTCAGAAGCTGAGTCAACCATGTACAAAGTAACACCTAAAATATGTTTAACAAACAAATTCTTATAATCAGTTCTTACGGATAACGCTCCAATTCGATTTCGGTACTTTAAATTCAAACAATTTACCATTTGCCTTTGTAACGACTTTTAAAACGTCTGCAGTTTCTTGCAATACAGATGCTAAATCCACGCTATCTGATAAAAAAGAAGACAAATCCTGCATCAACACGCTGGGTTTATTATGGAGATAGAAACTAAATTTTTGACTTTCTTCCTTGCTTTTTTCCAAAGCTCCTTTACTCTTACGCACAATTTTTACGTAGGGCGCGATTACTCTTCTAGTAGCCTTGTCTTTTGTGTCCAGAGCCATTTGATCGTTAAATGTGTTTTTCTTTTTGCTATGCTGCGACGTCATATTGGTTTTGTATAAATTATGAACTAAATATTTAACGTCACGTTGTTATTTTGCGTCAATAAACTTATTTCATTCAGGTGTCTAAATATGTACATGTGCTTTGCTTGTTATTAATTCAAATATGAGGTATATAGGAATTTTGCCTAAGCTACTGTTTGTGGCAAATGATACATGATTTGATAGCTAATAAACTTTTATTCTGTGAAACTAGTTTAAACTGCCACCAATTTTTCGTGTGTAAAATATGGGGGTAAAGCAATGAATGCCCAATTCAACAGTAAATATACGCAGAGTAATTCAAAGTTGGCGTCATTTGTCTAACGGCATTCCTTTAAAGAGTTACTGACGCATACTTGGACAATTCATAGTAATTTCCTTAACATGCAGGTGTAAGGTTGCAAGAAAGACTGTCAGTCTCGAATTAGTTGAACATTTCTGCCGTCCTGGGCCACCCTTTCTCACGTAAGAACGCGAGCAGCTCAGTCGATTGAAAGGAAAATTGCTAGCGTGGTGCCAGTCAAAGACATTAATAGATTCATTTTCGTCCAATTCGATTTAATTATTTTTCATCTTCTCTTCTTCCCTAAGTGCCTGCTCCTCTTAGAATATTGGTAATCATTAACTCGATATGTATTTTGTAGACCGCTTTTGCAAAGAGACTTGTAGTCTCACCATATCACTGTCGCAGATTCCTTAGCCACGATATTCTTGGACGCCCGGGTCATCTTTTGCCTTCGATCTTTCCTTCTATTATTAATTTGAGAAATCCGTATTTTTTGTTGAGATTGCGTTCAAAATATTCCAACTTTTGTTTTTTAAGTGTGAGCTTGACTTCGATTTATTTTGACATTCTCGCGAGCACATCCACATTACTCACTATCCATCAAGGATTTCTTCAACATCAGTCGATACACCCACATTTCGAAACTCTCCAATTTGTAACGGTTAAAAATGAAATTTAACCAGTGGTTCACCTGTCTGCTAACCCGTTGTTCAAATGTATGTAGTAATAAGTTATACTTGTAATAAGCTATTGTTGTCAACCGATTTTCATTTGTAATTTGGATTTAGTAAGCATGTTTGCCAGATTAGGTTAGTAATATTTCGGGGATTATTTGAAATTTGATGTTTGGATATTTGTATCTCTCTCCCAAACATCAGCAGTCTTTATCATGGTTTTGTCTGGCAACGTGGTGGTTGCCCCGCCTTCATGGACCACCGTTAGTGATGGGAAGGGACGAGGAATGGACCTAGCAGGGTCACCCAGCGAAGGGCAATGAAGTACCAACGATAGTATCAACCGGAATCAAGTACGAGAAATTGCCGAAGAGAGTCGATCACCGTCACCTTGACCACCGAGTCCTCCATATTCTGCTGTGTGGTAGACCTTGCCCGCTACTTGAACATTCGTTTGGGGCCATCAGCCGCCTCCTGGTTCCCGACTGGGGATATTGTGTCACGGAAATTGTGGATTGGATAGCCAGGGACGGTCTGGATGAGATGTCCAGAGGACGGTCTGAACCTAGCACGTAGGCATCGACAGCACGTGGTAGCGACTTCGTAGCCTCGCTGGTGTTTGGGGTGAGTATTGCTACTGGTTGTACATTATTAATTTTGTAACACCATCGAATGTCGCCGCCACTGGATAACATTCACGACATAGATGACAGCGGCGTCAAGAAGCAGTTCATCCTGGCGAGCTACCGAGACGCACACGTACAATTCCACCGAGATACCAAATCCGCCTTCAGCTTGTAACTTTCACCCCAACTTCTTGTAAGATAGCAATACATTGTTAAAGTGAGTGCCTACGCTTAATTTCCCTTAAGTAGTGCCTCTGAACCCATAAAGTGGAGTGAAACAATCCGAGGGTAAACCCACAACCCAACCTCGACAATTTGTATTTTCTGGAAATTTTCATTTAATTAGGCAATTAAGGTAGAGTATAGATCAAACGGTTAGCAGACGGTAGTTTGTGGTCGACAAACCACGTTTTCTTGTTCGTTATTGAGCTCACCATTTTCCTTTTTTTTTATATCATCATTCAAGTCAGTTTATGTACTATCACGGTAAAAGAATTGAGTAGGTATTTCGGCAGCATTCCATCGCTGAGTGTTCTAGCTTTGCTGCGAAAGCTAGTGGCGCTCGAACGAACTCACCCTTCGGGCTTTGCACACGACCGCCCGATATACCCGCTCAAGGGAAACCCTTTTTTTCTCTCTCTCTATTAAATTGTCATTTAAATCATTGTCTTAATTAAATAGTCTTCATTAAAGGTTGATTTTTATTCTTTTGTTCTGTCTGAAATTTGTCGTGTTGCAGCTTCTTTCACAGAATGTTCACCAATCTCAAATATGCCGATTTTTATTAGTTATGGGGGAATGCCTCAGTAACATAGCAGAAGCTGTAAGAACTTACACCAACAAAGGGCTAGATACACTGGACGATTGGTTCCAGGAAAATAGTGGACGACCAATAGATGTTTGATTTCCAGGCACAGATGAACAAGTATTGGAAATCATTGTTGCAGAGCCTTCCAGGATTATACGGAGAGTTGCACAACAACTAACACTTTCTCAGGCAACTAATCACCGGATAATTACCAAGGAAGGGCAAAATTCATATCATGTACGTAATATATACAGGACACAAAGAACACCTCTTGTGAGATGTATAAATCGGTTTTATAACCTTTAAAATTTGTCGTGTTGCAAGCTTTTCACGCATTCAATTCTATAATAGAGAATACTGAAAACGTAACAACGCAATACTCGAGTGCGAACTGAGAGTGACAGACTTCGCCAACACAACACGGACTTGTCCTGTTCAACTCGGGCACGGACCTCCTGCATAGCATTTCAGTTTTCCTTGACCTGGCATCCAAGGTATTTGCATGACCGAACACGTTCGATTTGTTTGCCCTGTACCTGCAGAATTGCGTTATTTTTCCTTAATTTAACTAAGGTGCCAGCTAAGCCGCTGCAAGAGTCAAAACCTTTAATCCACTATTAATTACGGATTTTAAAGTATTTCTTTTCGGTCGATGCCACTTATACATATCCTCAAGCCTCAATCCGAACATCGTCGTTTGAATTGGGGTTTTCATACTCTGTAATACAGACATTTTTGCACCGCCATCAACTGCATCCTTTTGATTTCAAAAGACTGCAAAATTTTCACCCGGATGATTTTCCTCACAGGGAAAACGTTTGTAAAAATTTAATTAATAAAAAACAAGAGCAAAACATATTTTACCATATATTATTTACAATTTATATATTTACAAAGTAAACATGTTTTGTTTGGTCGAGAAGTGTAATACTTTTTATATGATAAACATTTAAATGGTGCCAAAAAATTGAAAATTCTGCTTTTTTCTCTCGTTTTTCAAAGAAAAATAGTTTTTCTTAAAACTGCGCCTTGCTAGTTACGCGCTCATGGTATCAGATGGTGGAGACGAGCGCGCAACAAGTGAGTTGCCCATACAAAATTGACAAATTTATTCAACGGGCGACGGGGAAACCGCGGACCATACCTGTGGCTTGCCAGATCTTCAGACCTTACTTTCAGATTACAGATTAGATTTTTATGTGTGGGGCCGGATAAAACATTTAGTTGATTTTTCAGCAGTTCAAAACGTGGACAATTTGATACTCACGATCATAGAGACTTTTGACAGTCTCGATATCAATTAAATCAGACGTGCTACGCAATCTGTTAAAAGTAGATTAACAGAATGTTTGAATCAAGGGTTGAACTTGTATTTGTCTATTAATAATAACTTATTACTCTTTCTCGTTAATAATATTAGTTTCTGTTGTTGTTTTTTGTCAATTTATTGTAACAACACTCTTTTGTTTTCATTGCATCCCTGACAAGCCAAACAAATATATATTAAACTGAGATTTAAAATTTTTTTTTTTTAACTCAGTAGCGAATCAACTTAGGTATAGGAAATGCTAACAGTTTGTAGGTGCCATTTAAGAAACTAACATTTCACAAATTGTACACCAACGTCGGAGTTGCGATTAGTAATGGGGAATTGCCACAGTAACATAGCAGAAGCTGTTAGAACTTCCACCAGCAAAGGGGTAGATACACTAGACGACTGGCTCCAGGAATTCAAGCAGAGAGTGGACAATCTTAGGCCTTTCAGGAGAATGTGGAGCATTGCACAACTGACTCTTTTCCAGGCACCGGATAATTGTCGCGATAACTTCCTCGAGGAAGGGATACATTCCTACCATGTATGTAAGATACAGATTACACTAGAACACATTAAATTTCTGACCTTCCGAACACCGGGACAAATTGAGAAGAAGTTAATTAACCGAATATTTTTTGACGATGTTGGTTTGTGCCGCGCATAGACACTCTGCCCTTCAAATTGGTTCTTTTTATAATTTATTTGGTCTATCCCCTAGCCAGTTCTGGTGAAGTGGTTCATTGAAAATCTGCTATCAATTACTGCGGTGTTATAAAATTTCAGTTTGCCAAGTGTTTGTTTTGATTGGAAGCTGTTTTTTAAACTAGTGTTCTTTTTAGAATATCTGCAGTAATGTTAATACTACGCTTTCTTTGGTCTCAGATTTGACATGATTTATTAGTCTGGATAATTTTACCGGTTACATACTACCCCAATCAGCGACTAGATCGTACATCTAGCCAGTGACTCCAAACCCTTTCCTCACCTCCGAGGTGGTGTTTGGCCTAGCACCGCGGTCATTTCTGTTCTATTGTGCCATCGTATTTTACTTCCTCATTTTCCCTATGTATTCAATGACTTCCAGAAGAATCTTAAGGGGGGTAAGCATGACATGGGATGGTAGTCGTCCCTATCTGCAGCTCGTCGATTTTCCCAAGCAGGTGCCTCTTTATGAGTTCTCCCTGCTAAGGAGGCAAGTTCTTCTCGGGATATCCGACCGCCGCTATGGCCATCTTAATCCCGGAAACCGCATCCCTGTACGACTTTGTCGTATCGTGTCTTTCCTTTACGGAAGTTTCCACACACAGCCATGGGTGTGCTGCCATCCGACCGTTGTCGCTTTTGGGTCTCTATCGTGGCAGCTTTTTAGGGGTGTGCTGGTTCCCCTGAGTGTCTACCACACTTTCTGTAGTATTAGTGTGCTAATTCTTACTGGTGGTTTCTCCGCCTGGCGGCCACCGAGAGTTTTTTACCACTCTTCGGTACTTTGCCAGCTGCGGAGCCCGACGGTTCTTTTGAGGAACTCCCTCGGTATTTTGTGCTGGTATGATGGTGGTGGCGTTTACCTCCCCATTATTCCCACGAGCAGCTGGGGAGGGGTTAAGTCCACCCACACAGAGCCCCGCGTGTATGTATAAGGCTGATACAATAAGGTGCACCTGTTGTCTCAAGGTTAGTCTTTTGGCTCGGCTTCCCCACAGCCTTGCATCTCTAAGCGCGCACTATACCGTGAGAATTGAGAGGTGTTATCGGCGATCCGGCCCGTAAAACCAAGATCTCCGCGCCCCCAATATAGTATCTATCCCGAGGCCGTAGCCACGAGCTGGTCCGAGAGTCGTTGCACTGCAGGCTTTTTGCGGATTGTGCAACGAGCTGGTCCGCGGCAACGGCTTTCGATCCAGATTCGCGGGTTTTATTCCACGAACTTCACTTTTGGCCGCCGCTAACCGGTCAGATGTATCGGACCGGCCTTCCCCTTATCCGCCACCCGGTTACGCGCCCGATGGATAGCTCAACTTTCACGGGATGGCATTCTTTAAACTAACTTTCAATAAACACGTGATGTAATAAAATACATTTTATTTATCAGTCTGTATGTAGCAGCTTTCAGAATTTTTATCACAACCAGGATATTCCTTAATAGTACCTAATTTCTCATTTTCCTCATGAATGCACGCACATCTAAATATATTGCTTCCAACCGTATAGTACTGCCTTGGCTTTCCTATCCACTTCCTTTCAATTCCCCCACTAAAATAAAATGTAAGTATTTATCTAATATACCTACTACAGTACTTTTTATGTTAAGCAGACAAGACGGAAAACAAAAGCATCAAATTTGGCCCAAATAATATGGGGACAGAAGGCGCTACTGGCGAAAAGTACCGTTGACATGTCTGTTAATACTATTTTTGTGTACTAATATGAAGAGAATACTATTTTTTCCTTAATTAATTCACGGGGCAAAASCCCACATATAGACATATAAGGCAATAAGAAGAGCGCATTTTGGWGATTATGACTACGRTGATAAATGTTGCTTTTGATCAATTTTTTGTTTGTTTCGTGAAKTTGAAACAAATACAATAACTATTWYAGGCACGTTAGTGGTAAGCAGTGTGRATTTCGAGCMGGCGAGGWTAACAAAGTGTTGWSTTTTTTAGTTAATTTAAAAAAGTAAGTACYTTTCGCACMAAAGCTTTWTTWAAAACTTTGTTTGATTCAGATTTAAAATATTCAAATTTGGYGSCTTTTTGATAGAGGAACGGTTYCCGAATGTTTGAATGAAYGAAAGGCAGRTTTAGCGCCGGTYGCTCACGCAGCCGCCCAAAAAGGACACRAAACACGSGGAAATARCGKCGGATTCGTGCGCGGTGTGTCTGCCTGACAAGACTGAAAAACCCCTTTTTTCTAATAATATTGTAAGCMACCTCGGTGATTGGCGGGAATGGCAACAYTGRTGGTCGGCACCAGAACAGGAGTGGCAATACCGCTCAAACTCCCATCAAGACTATACACCTGGAAATCGCCACAGGACAATGATCAACACATTGTCCGTAATCAAATARATTAMATCACAATTGAACGTAGGYTTAGAAACTCTACCAGCAAGGGTACAACAATGCCAGGTGCCCATATCGCATCAGATYACAGTCCAGTATGTTGCCCAGCCCAGCAGCCCTAAAAGAAAGAACTTCAGGAAGACGTTGGACCCACAACTATTAAAAAACGMAGAGACCAGATCACTGTACGAAGACCATCTCAATAAAGAACTAGAAASTATTAGAAACTCAAACGACACTAACAAGTACTGGCTTGAAGTTAAACGAGCCTTTAAAACCACGAATGAAAAATTCCTCCTAAAGACAAAAGCAACAACTAAGAATGAGTGGTCGACCAGATATTCTAGAGTTAATGGAAGATCGATGACAATGTRAAACCAGAACGACCGCAAGGGGTATAGAGCTCTTCAAAGAAGAATACGGAATGACATTAGAGCGTCAAAAGAGAATTGGCTACATGAAAAATGCYAAGAGGCTGAAGATCTGAACAGACTTGGAGATAGTGTTCATGTTCAGAAAAAAGTCAAAGAGATAGCTGGGCTATACAATAATAGACCGTTGGGTTTCATAAAAAATGAGCACAGCGAAATAGTGACAGAAGCCGAAGAACTGCTGCAAATCTGGAGAGAATATACAATCAGTCTCTTCAATGACGACAGGCCAGGGAATCCCACAACAGAAATATCCACAAACATGATTTAACAACCAAAAAAAAATTAGTTGCTTTTATCCACCAAATAAAAAGTTCTGGTAGTTTTTGTACCACGACACTCAAGAATTCACCACTTGTTCAAAACGGATGAGCTCGATTGTTTCATCAAAATATGAGTCTCACATAAGAACAAATTCACAGCGAGATTCGCCAAAATACATCGTACCATTCTCCCGATATTTCAAAAAAGAACTTTGACCAGAAGAAAAGAAATTTTTTTTAAGAACTTTGACCATCAATAGCAGGGGAGCCAGACATTTTTTGTTAATAAAAGTTAGGTCAGATAGATTTATTTTGATGCAAGGAATATCGTAGAATCCGTTTGATCATGTGCTTACGGGACACCCTGTAGAACAATCCCTTAGCTACACTAATAATTTGCCAAATGAGCATTAAACTACTTCAAAATATCGGCTATTGGCAAAATTCAAGATACATCGGCAAGATTTGATATCTTCGAAATAAATAATTTTTCTTGCAAAACGCTTCGAATTCCCATGAATAAAATTTTTCTGCTTTTTTCGAAGAATAAATTGTTCTGGAGTTACACGTCTCATTTTATCTCTGATATTGAACAAGAAGTCGAATAAGTGATAGCTGACCTTTTGTCTGAGCACCAAACTCGCGTACCCCTATCGGCATCCCATTCGATATTGCAAGGGGGAAATGTTTGCCTATCAATCTGTAAACTTTGCTCTTCGTCTTGTGATTCCTGCATGCGTTTATTCATTTGATGTAAATAAGCAGTAGGTTCTCCGAATTTGTCATAATAACGGCCAATAAGATTTCCAATTTGTTGATACTCTCTGTTATAGAATTTCATCCAGTCGCTCAACGATTTCAGCTCCTTGTTGCTCAAACCCCCAATATCGTCGCTGGCATCCTCTTCTTTAAACTTCCCAGTTACAAAGTTTCGCGAAGCGTCCTTTCCTACAACTTACCAGTTAGCCACAAGGAAATTGAGCGTAACACGTATCTTACCGACAAAAACGTGATATTGTTGACCTTTTGCATAGTGCTTCGCACCTTTGGTCACATTAAAAACTGTACCTAATAGGGCCACATATAAAAACGGCTGCTCAACTCCATTAAAAGTGGCTAATTCACTAGTTGTAAAAAGGTTGGTCTTAACAGTGACCGCATCAAAAACACCTGAGAAATGTAAAGCTAATAGAAGAGCCAAAAAGCCTAAGAAAACGAGTATTTTAAACATATTGCAATTATTTTTATTCCCACTTAAAACCACGTTAAAGTACGTGTATACCGTTGTGGTTTAAGTGCAAGTACCCATTGTATTATCATGTTATTCAAAATATTATTTATGTTGTCTTAGCCTTAATTTTCTTCTTTTATGAAGTACTTTTAACACTTTAGAAATGTGGTGCGTTTGGCAACATCGCGTTGCTATGCATTGTAAATCGCCTGTGAGTGTGTGAGTTGTTATATATAAGCTGTTATACATAAGCTGTGTTATTACTTTAGAGTAGTCGTTACTAATAGTTGCTAAGATGTTATATGGTAATTAATTAAATCAATTTGTTACTTTGACTACTGTTCCAAACTTTCTCAAGAGCCACTATTTACCAATTTGATTCAGTTCGTAAATTTTAGTATCAAAAGTCACATATATGTTTCTCTTTTTATATTGTATCTACATTCCGTTTTCATTAAAATTAAGGCATCATGCTGCAACTAAATTGAAAGAAAAAGTTTCAATTTTGCTAAAGGTTTGAAAAATGTATGGAATTATGCCATAATTAAAGCACGAAATTTAAAAATACGCGAGTTTTATGAGGACCAATGTATAGAATTTTAATTGAGTAGGTAATTACAATTTACATCTGTTTGTAGTATACAATACAAGTTGTTCGATTTAAATTGAGCAAATTATTACCGTTCACAACGTGCAATTGTTAGAACACCATTTACAGACACTCCGTATGTTCTGGTACATTTTTAAATAATTTATCAAAAAACAGCATCTATTGGTAACAACAAATATGGATAACTTAAGCGTTAAAAAATATAATTTTTTGCAAAGAACCAAATAGGTACTTTTCTCAGAAACCATATGTTTTTACCAAGAACAGCTTCTATGGCACTCATATTATTTTTCGGCATAGACACTAATGCAGAATGATATGCAGCTAATTTCGTCAAGACACAACTCTTGGTTGAGTCTAAGTCTAGTAATTGGGATACTTTACATAAAATTATATTCGCGACAAATAAAATAATTTAGCTAGAAGCGTAGTGTCAAGCATTCAGTAAAATCCAGTGATGTGCAACAGAACTATTAACATTAAATCACACATCACAATAATATTATAAAGTAATATACATTATGTATATGCATAACATACGTGAACAAAGCAGAAGAATCGCACTGTCAAAATCAGCTGTTCTCGAAAGGTCAATGGTCAACATCTAGTGATAAAGCAAATATTTACCTGTTATTGTAAAGGAAAATATTTAGTTCGTGACTTAACGTGAACGGGGTAGAACGTATATTCGTTTTTAAGTTACAAGTTTAGTGTTTTTTGAATAATTTTGCGTAAAAATGCCGAAAATACGAGCTGGTACAGTTGTTGACCTGCTGGGGGATGAAATGACCCGCATTATATGGGACGCAATAAAAGAAAAACTTATCTTGCCTTTCTTGGACATTGACTTGAAGGTCTTCGATTTGGGTATTGAAAACAGGGATAAAACAAATGATCAGGTGCGCTAAATTATTGTTTAATGCTCAAACAATCTAATAAACATCAGCTTGAAATTTTATTGAAATTGCTTCTCCGTAACGGTATTTATGAGTACTTATTAATTTTTTTCCATGAAACCCGATCGGTTTGAGCGGAAAATTCCTGAACTTTGCTCATGATTAGCCTATGAATACATTTATTACATATATATAATACATATGTACTTATTAATTGAGCCTGCGCTTAATAAAAATGAAACTGAAACATAATTTTAAGTTTTTGAAATATGTACCTAGTCCTATGAGATTTATAAACATCAAATCCATGCTATTATCAAAACCATTCAATTGTGGAGATACGCCTACCAGTTAACAATAGATTCATTATTTAACAATCTGCAAATCAACTATACTTACGAGTGAGTATATCTCGCTAAACCTATATATCGTTTAAGTATATGTATTTAAATCCCGAAACTTTTCAGTTTTCTGCACTATGTTTCAGTTCAAGTGTTTATGTAACTGAAAATGTCCGCCCCTAGAAACGTTTCAACGAAACGTTACTCAAACGTTTCAAGTTAATGTTATCGAAACGTTGCGCTAAACGTTATTTAAACGTCGCAAATAAATATTTTGAAACATTATGCAGGGTGTATCTTTCAATTCAATTTTAATTAATGGTACATTTTGGCCCTAGAAGCAGGACAATCAGGTTAATTTTTCTTTTGACCAAAAACTATCTCATAACTAGTAGGTACTGCTGCATACTAGCAGGTATTGCTGCAGACTATTTTCCTATGTTTTCAGTTTCTGAGTTTTAGGCCACATTTGTGGCCCAAATCCATCCTATCTTCGGGGGTTAATAAGCGGATTTGTTTTTCCTAAAGAAAATAAACCTGATAGTCCTGCTTCGAGGACTAAAATATACCTACCCCAAAATAAATTAAAAAATATTCAATTTAAGGTAACATATTTGTACTCCTCAAAGAATCACTGTAGTTTCGTGATTTTATAACGTTTTCATAAAAAAATTTACAAAACAAGCAACTTGATTGGAAATGTTTTAAATTTACAATTATCCCAAATGGTATGTATACAGGGTGTTGTATGGAAAATGCGTTAGGAAATTTTCGAGAGTTATTCAATATGCTAAAATAATGATAGTAAGTCATATAACGAATATTCGAAATCTGAATATTTACCGAGTTCCAGCTTATCAAACTTTGTTTTTCACTTTTGAGCTATTCTGAAAATTTCTTCGCGGATTAACTTGAAAATCGGTACACAGTTTAGCTTAGTAATCTCTGACTTTCTGATCAAAAATTGTTTCTCCACTGTGAAACTAGATGGAACTTTACCTGTAATACAACTTTAATTTTCTGCTTGTTATTTTGGTCACGCCAAATATCGCAAAAACGAATACTTATGCCATTTTAAACATTAGAAAATACTAAAAACATTATTTTTTTTAAAGAAGCATTTAAAATCACGACTCGAAAGCCCTCCTCGTTTAGGAGCAAATCGACCATAAAGTTTTTATTACTTCAACCCAGTGGTCATGTATTTAATTGGAATCGCAAAATATCAAGTCGTCTGGTTGTAAAAATTGTCAAATATTACACATTTTGAGAATTGCAAATAAAACTATTTTATTTTTTTTGAGGGCAAACTAGTGGTCGTAGGAAAAAACAATAAGAGATAAAAAGGTAGGTAAATAATTTGTAGTAATTAAAAAAATTATGCTGATAAGAGTTTAAGTGCATTCAAAAAAGTTCTGAACAAAACAAACGTAGATGTTCCACATTTCTACCCTGTATAAAAGTAAGCAGAATCACAAAACACTACCATAGAATGGCATTCAATTAGATTATCATGTATACCAAAATTGAAGTTTACATGTTTAACTGTTTTAAAGAAACACAACAAAAACTAATATTTTCCGCCATTTTGGAAGTCAAATATCTCAACAATGAAACCTCAAATTGAAAAAATTCTCAGGAAATTCCCCTTCTAAAATGACTAGAAGAACACGATTTAAAATTTTTTAACATATTTACGGAACACTCTGTATATAGCTTGTTCCGTAAACATCTGTAATGGCATTTTTTCTTAAACAATTGACACATATCAAGATATTAACAAAACTAGGGTTACTTAAACTCGAAATTGGAAGGCCAATCCAACCATG